CAGAGGTCTCACCTCCAAACACCATCACATTCAGGGGTAGGGCTTCAGCATATGAATTGTCGAGGGGTGGGTCAGTGTTACAGTTCAGTCCATAGCACAGCCTCAGTGGTACCTATGTGATGCCGTGTCACTCACTCATTTAACAGATATCTGTTAGGAACTCACTCTGCAAGGCACAGGGGTAGGTGCTCAGGACACAGCAACAGAGACCCTGTTCCTGCCTTCACAAAGCTCAGGTCTTAATTTAAAAGTAATTACAGAAATATTTAAATAGAAATGGTCATAGGCGACATGAGGAAAGGTACATAGCTAGGCCAGGATAGTCGTCCCAGGGGAAGTGACACCAGAGCTGAGACCTGTGAGTGGGCATGAGTTAGGTACACAGGGAGGGGAGGAGAGTTTTTCAAGCCAGAGCGGAGGCCCCTACGTGGAAGAAGGAACTGAAACTGTGTGGCGAGAGTGTCTGGGGACAATCGTGTCTCCCTTCCAGGTAAAAACACATGTACTGCCTGAGAACTTCCCTAAGTGGTGCTTTTGACCCAAAAGAGAAAAGCTTACTGCCAGGCTTAGTCACCAGACAGCAGAGTAGCCTGTGTTTGCTCTTTGTGACCAGGGTCGGTTGGCGTGCTCTGGGAGCGCAGTGGGGTGGGGGGCGGGGAGGGGAAGCTGGGAAGCCTGGACGACCCACATCTGGGGAGTAATCTTTGCCTTTTTGCATCTCAGCACCCCTCTTCCTCCAATTAGTGCCATCCTGAAGAACCATGTTTGTGATCTATGAAGCTTTTATTTTTTAAGTGAAAAAAAAAATATGTCCTCAGGATAGAACGTTTCATCAGCAATCCCAGGAAAATGGAAATAAGTTCAGTTAAATGAAATCGAAGTCCATTAACGAGTTCTGTTTCTTGCTCAATGACGGCTTCTGGCAGATAGCCACTTCTTCAAGGAAACTTTCTGTCCGTCCCCTTTGCTTTCCGTGCTCTCTACTCAGGTCTGTAATCCTCTTCTGCGACTTTAGTTTTAGAGCGCAAACTGTCTTCTCTAAACACATGTGCTTACAATTTGCAACTTCGTGTCCTGTGAACTTTCTGTGATAGAGTTAGCTATTGACATAACATGCCCATGAAATGCATAATGTAATTATAGCGGGTGATCCCCTCTTTAATGATATGGATATATGTCTTTCATCCTTTTTTTTTCTTCTATTTTTACTTTTTTCCTCTTTTTAAATAGTGGGCCCACTTTTGCCCTCCAAATCCTGTTTCGTCACACTGAGTGCCTAATGCACAATTGGGACTCAGAAAAGAAATGGAGACGCAAACAATGATGATTTCTGGCACATTCTAGTGGGCCAGTTTTGTGATCGAATTCTTACCTGCAGGGTTAGTGTCCTTCCTAGACCACCCAGTAGGGTTCAGCTTCTCCACAAGCCCCTGAGACTGGGTCGTCTGCATCCATGAATTCTTGGCTCCTGGTTCACATTAGATGCTCAATGAATATTCATTAAATGGTTAACATCAGTCTACGGCCACGCCACCCTGAACGTGCCCGATCTCGTCTGATCTCAGAAGCTAAGCAGTGTCGGGCCTGGTTAGGACTTGGATGGGAGACCACCTAGGAAGATCAGGTACTGTAAGCGTTAAAGAAAAAATGATTAACGTCAGAGCCCAATTCATATTGTTGTATGAAAGTCCATTATTAGGAAAACAACCTTCCTAGTGATAATTATCCCAAAGGCATAGGGATTGGTACTAGTCCCGGAAGCAGGGTAGCCCTCAGCTAAGTTCTTCCATCAGTAGAGCAGCCCCTTCATGGTCCTCCCTACTCACCACTCCGTAGCATCCCCCTCTGGCGTTCAGCCACCTGGGGCTTTATCTTTGGCTCCTCACTATGACTCACAGCAGGCAGCACTCATCAAATGAGTAGCTCCCTTCCCTGCTCCCCTCCAGGCCCTGCCACGGGCCTTCCAAGATGGTAGCAAGCTAAGTAGAAGCCGTGAGCCGTCTGCCCCAAATCAAGCTCCAGACTCTGACCTTCCCCCAGTACAGTGTTCCAGGGAAGGAAGCGAAGCCCGACCCACACTGTTCCCTCTGCCTGGCTCTTTCCATGCTCGGTGACTTATTACTCATCCTTCAAGATGTAAATCGAGATGGAGTGCTTGTGTTGAACTCTGCGTGTCACACTTTGCTCTGATCCCTGGGCAGCGTGACCCTCTTTCACTGAGCACACTTCCTGCGTGATGTTGCATTTATTAGTTTATGGGATTATCTTCCACGTTAGACAGGAGTCATGTCTTTTTCATCGTTGTTTCTCTAATGCCGAGCACAGTACCTGACCCGGGCCACCGGTGACTCCCTGAAGGTCAGGGAGGAAGTGAAAGGAGATGAGGGCAGTGGCAAGAAAAGGAAAGAGACAGACAAGCAGCAGCCTCTCGTTCCCTGTTTCTGACACTGGCTCAGATGCAGTGAGTGTCGCGTCCGAATGCAAGAGTGGCTGAGACTGAAAGGAAGACGTGAGCACGAGCACAGGGTGCGGGGTTTCGATCTAGGAGGGTTGAAATGTAGGATTCTAGGGGCCCGAAGGCTTCCTTCAGGTCACGCAGTGACTCGCCTCTTCCTGGGAATGGGTCGCACAGAGCAATGGGACTTAATGGCACTGGACTTGCTCACTTCGTTCCGGAACCGGTGTGCATTTTTTTCAAGCAATTAACCTGTGTGTGGCAATCAACCGAAGCCCAGTGAACACAGAGCAAGTCAAGAGCCTTATGAGAATGGCAAGTTGAGAAGGACCAAAGGGCTGCGTGGTCTCTGTTGATGCCATTTTGCAAAGCAGTGATCGCTCTCGTCACAAGCAGCCTCAGGCCCGGCCAGGTCCTCGCCCACAGTGGCCCTGACACAGCAAGCAGCTGCAGGCAGGGAGGGTTCCCTCCACGCAGTGATGACATTCAGCTAAGCCACAGTTTCCTTGACTCAGGAGGAAACCCGTGTGGTTTGGGTTGAGCGGGGTGGCGTGGGTGAGCAAGTGCAGATTTTTTTCTCCTTGCCCCGTGGCTTTAAATTGCAACCTCTCTTTTAATTTTCCACTCTGCATCAAACACATCTGTGCCAGCAGTGGACAAATGTATTCCGTCTGGGAGGATGATCCCAGACAGCTATAAATTAGAGTTTGTGGACAGAGATGCCAAAAATGTGGCCATGTGGTAGGGTGTCCCTGGGACCAGTCACCTCCTCCATAGTCTGCGTGGTGGCTGCAGGCCTTGGCCTGATGCCTCTGTCAATAGACTTCGCTTTGTATTTGGAAACTATCTTTCCATCAAGTCACCACTGAAGTGAGTGGGCAGGGTTGTCTGTGAGGCTCTGCTGGGCACATCTACCCCTGGTGCTCCTAGGATGGTGCTTTCGCAAAGGCATTGCGTTCTTCCCTGTACCAGAATCAGCGATGACCTTGAAGCTGGTTTCCTCCCAAACTAATGTATGGTGCAAGAAAACGCTCCGCACTTTTTCTGGATTGAACAAACTACTCTATCACGCTTTTTTAAAATGTTTTTAAACTTCGAAGAATAATGTATGCTCAATGCAGAAAACATAGTGAAAAGAGTCGCCTGCAAAATCCCACCTTCAGAGATAAATATTGTTAGTGTTTTCGCATGACTTCTTTCAATATTTTTCCATGCCACGCTACCCTTTTTAAAAATGCAAAAATCTTTTAAAGCTAGTCGAGCCCAGTTCCTTTAGCTGTCCCTCACATTATCCAATTAGTGCTTTCCTCTAAGTACTGGAAACTTTTAGTTATTCTGCGTTGGAGAGTCCAGCTGGTAGAACTCTGCCCCTCTAAACCCTCCTTGCTGAAGTCATGCGGCTCTTCTGAAGGAGCCGGCAACCGAGGGAACCGGCCTTGAGGGTACGGATGGCCATGAAGGATAAAGTCTTCATATAAACCCAGCCAGATAGCCCCAAAGGGTAGCCCCAGGTCTTTACAAATAACCCCACAGATAGAAGGATCCTGTGTAGAAGGCTCAGCCCGACCTGGCTTAGATTTTATTTTACCTTATTAAACCTCTTCCTCCCGGACCTATGTCCTTCTGTCTTCCTGTTGGGGGCAGGGGCAGCCCCTAAACTTTTCACCTGGTGATAGGCCAGGGCAGCCCAACACTAACTGGGAGGGTAGGCGGAACCAGGGGCTATTTTTGCATCTCTGCTTCCTTTCGCCTTGTGCCTCAAGGGATGAGTGTTTGTGGAGAGAGGATGCTGGGGCTGGAGCCTGTTCTAACAGTCCCGCAATGGCAGAAAAGACCTCGGCTTCCATGCAGAGCCTCACAAAAGCCCTCAGAGTGGTGGAGAGGAAGCA